TGCGCCAGGTACGTCCGCCGAGCTGCCCGGTGCCCTTCCCCGAAACGTTTAACGGCGAGAGCGCCCGGCTCCCCGAGTTTATCGTGCAGACGGCGTCTTACATGCTCGTAAACGAGAACCGATTCTGCAACGACGCCATGAAGGTGGCATTCCTAATCAGCCTCCTCACCGGGGAAGCCGAGGAGTGGGTGGTGCCCTACATCGAGATGGATAGCCCCATCCTAAGTGATTACCGGGCCTTCCTCGATGAGATGAAACAGTGTTTTGGCTGGGATGACGACGAAGACGACGACGAAGACGAAGAGGATGATTATTAGGCCCGGAGCCCCTCGGGCCTGGGGGGGAGGGCCCTGCACGCCGCCACCTCCTTCCGCTCCTCCCCCCGCACCACGTCCCTTCCCGCCCCGCCCGAAGCTGCCGCGCTCCCCCTTATCCTCAGGTCCCCTTCCCTACCCTCCTCTTCTATCCCTATTCCCTGGTAGTGCTTGTCTTTGTTCCAGGAATAGCGCTCCAGTTACCTGCTCCTGGAGCTGGGGCTGGGGCCTTCCTCTGAAGCGCACTTCATGCACTCTTGCCAGCCCCAGGACCTTGCCCCTGCTAATCTGAACTGTGTCCTGAGCTCCAGCTATTGGCCAGGCTTTTGTTACAAACTGATCAGACCACCCACAGCCCTGCTGCTGCCATCCGCCAATTACCAGGCCTACATCTGCCCAGAGACCTAGGCTGCCGTTTCACCACCCTCCACATCCCGCTGGCAGACCACCGCCTTTGGACATAAGGACCAACCTAGAAGATGCCTGAGTTGGCTACACCTCGTCAGACATTGATTTGGACAGCTCACCAGTCCCTGAATGGGCCAGTCTTTCAGCCTGGTTAGTTCCCTACCTACTCCCAGGGTCCTCCTCAGCCCCACCAGATTGCTGCAGAGGCCTGGTGTGCCTGGCAGCCAAAATTGTTGATATTTCTCTATGCACCAGTTTTGCACAGCTGTTGTTTTTCTTTCAAAATTGTAGCAGTTCCACAGATGTGTGCATTTGGACAAATAATACTAAAAACAACAAAAAAATAAAAACAGGCAAGCAGCCCAGCTCCTCAGTACTACCTGGAATAGGCATTGGCATTATTTTCAATAAATATCAAGCACTACAAAAAAAGAGAAATGATTGTCTGTTAATGGTTAAGTGCTATCATTGGCCTCTACCACTGTCACTCTCCCATTATTCCCAGTGAGATCAGAGAACCCAGTTCAATGGCAGTATTCCCCACTGTCATGTCTAGGCTACAGAGGACAACGACCAGAGGGCTTTAAGGGGATTCTGGTGCTTTCCTCACCAAAGCATTTCTTAAAGCCCTTGTGATATGGATGTCCCCTTGGGCCTCCAAGATGGCATGTATAAGGGATGGCTGAGCAGGTGGCCCATTATCCCAAACTAGGATACCTGAGAATGAATGGGGGCACTATTAATAATGAGAATGGAGACAACAGACATAAACCTGGACACGTATATAATATTTCTATTTCTCTGAGCTTTTGGATTTCTTAACAGTGTGCCAGGGAAATTCTACCCCTTAATCCCTATTGCCTGTGGGATACTGGAGTTAATGCCAATCTCAGGTGCTCGAGCTAACATTAAATCCCAGATCCTGGATAGGTGCACCTGTAATAAATATAGCTAGAACTTAACATTTAATCTTTCTTGAGCAGGTATCCTTAAAATTCCCACCCATACATGTGCCCCAGATTCCTGCCTATAGAAATTGGCAAGATGCTTGGCTATCTGCTGAACCAGACCTTGTACTGCGGTCGGGGCTATGTGGAGATTTCTGCGAACTTGTAGGGTTCAGAGGCAATGAAGGGGTGGGGTGGGTTCTGAGAAGAATCTGCGTACCTTTGTGAGGCCATTACCCCAGGTTAAGTTAATGCAGGGAAGCCTGGATGGGGAATTGGTAGGAGCTACCTCTGACAGGAAGATTCAGGAAGATATGAGGGGGTTAGAGTTCTCATTCTTATTTATGTCTGCCCCAGTGTCTTCATTGTACCATGCCTGTGAGCCAGCCGGACCTTATGACTTCTAATTAATTTAGATAATATGTTTACTTACCGTGTAAGGCCTTTTGAGGCAGGATATTCTTTCATCTGTACTGGTACACCTCACAGTGTGGGTTAAATGAGATACTGGTCATCATATTAGTCACCTCACAGGTGTGGATTAAATGAGATCATACCCATGAGGGATTTAAAACTGTCCCTGCTACATAGTGAGTGCTCACTAACGTGGACTGTTATTCCCAGGCCTGGGAATCAATCTCAGGAAACAGGTGTCTGGCTATGAGCTTGGCTTTAGTAGGACAATGTCAGGAGTGAACAGGAGAAGAACAGGTTCAGGGAGAGTGGAAATGAGAGCATGCCAAGACACCATTTACTCTTTGGGGTTAGACATGAAGCCAGAAAGAAAGTCATTTTACCTGGTAAACGCAAATTCCAGGGCAGGAGTCATTTTTTGCAGCTAGGACAGTTGTTTCTGGAGTGTGGGGACAGGTATGGATATGAGTTAATGGAGGAGGCTGAGGCTCAGGTAGAAATGAGATTGGGGCTCTTCAGGGAGCTGCTCCCTCCTGACCTGGGTAAAAATGATTACCGGTTATTTAGGATTCGTTAACCACTCCAGGCTCCTTGGTAAACATACAGAAACCGTTGGAAGAATGACAGATTAAATTTCAGACATAATTCAACGGGTCTTCAGAAAGTTCATGGAAAGATTCGTATTATATTTTAATTCTATTTTTCCATGAAATTTTTGAAGTATTCTTGTATGTATGAGGACTTTATTCCTGACTAGGAAGGCCCTGAACTGTGGATGGATGTGGAAAAGTGGTGGACTAGAGCTGAAAGCTAGATAAACGACCCAGTGAAACCAAAAAAGCCACTAGTTTCAAATGTATCACAGCCCAGGTCTGCTGAGAGGAGCTAGAGATATATTGGTGAATGAAATGTGATTCTTGCTCTCATAGTGGTTCCAAGTCTGTTGCTTTGATGGTGCCTTGTGCCAGAACTGAGATGGTAACTACTTACAGGTAAGGGCCGGGAGGAGAATCTGGGCTGTGATTAGATCTGAGAGTGACCCTTCTGGGGTGGAAGTTGAGGTCATATGATTAGATGAGATCTAGTTCCCACCACCAAGCCACGCTCTGTGGAGAAATAAGGGGTCTCTGGTCAGTGAAAACACCATGCCAAGGCAGCATCTGAGTAGCATCCAGGAGAGCTAGGTCAAGGAGCTTTGGTGATCTAAAGTGTACATTTTCCAAGTGTGTGTGCATGTACATGAGCTTTCTATGACTGTGTGTGTGTATGCATGAGTGTGTGTTAGGTGGTGTCCTTCATGCATCATGGAAGAATAGGTTATCATGTGGGCAGCAGAGAAAGCAAGTGAGACTGGTTACCTTGGGGGCAGATTCTGCAGCAAAAGCTCAGATAATGGCAAGGAGTCTATCATTAGGAGGAATTTATGATAATGGCATAAGGCATTGCGAAAGACAAGGAAGAAGTAGATAAGCATGTCTAAAGATAAAAGCACCACTTTGATGAAAACTATTAAAAATAGGTGGAAATGCTGAAATGGCAAATATGAACTTCTGAATTCTCATATTGGGCATGCTAGACTTGAAATGATCACTGAAATTATACTATCGGTGAAGTGAAATTAATCATATTAAAAGTCATATTCACTTAGTCATATTAAATTTACCAATGTATCTTTGGGCTTTTCTATTCATTTGAATAGGTAAGCACTGCCATTCATTAATTCTATGTTGCCGTGTTTTGCAGAATGGCATATAACTTTAGAGGTACGATATGCACATTGTATGTTTGATTTTTTCTGCTGTTTAGTGAAAACCTCAGCAATTTGGAAGTAGGCAGACTGGAAGGAGAGATCTTACTGAAATCAGTATAATATTTGCATTTAAAAAATAAACTTTAAAAACATGTTTTAGTTTCTCCTTTTGGCTAAGATCAAGTGTAGTATCTGTTCTTATCAGGTTCTTAAGACAATTGAAACAAACCAATAAAGCAGTATCAATTGAAGGTCCCGAGAATGTTTTTCTCAATGGTTAGGGTGTGACAATTGCATGAAGAATGTTTATTATTTGCTTTGAAATACGGATTATGCTAAAATAGTGTTAAAAGTGTCTGTTAGCAGTTTGTATTACTGAGTAGGTCAAGTATATTCCTTACAGTCTTACTCCACTTAGTTCTAAAAGTAGATACAGTGAATACCTGTTTAGTGTCCTTTGACAATGCTGGTAACCCCTTACCTCCTTTAACGAAAATCTGATCATCCACCTTGCTTTTATTTTTTCCCCTGGCCTGAAATGCCTGTTAGGATTTATTTCTTCATCTTCAAGTGTTCTACTGTCCGATGGATAATAGCTTGCTTGGTGGAATTATGAACACCATAGCAAGATTTGTTCATGGAGCAGAGGCCCTTCCCTGGATGAGTTGGGGTGGTGGGAGGTGAGGTGCTGCAGAGGGTGTTTCAGAATAGCCAGACGGATATAGCAGCATTTGTGCATACTTCTCTTTCTTCCCTTAGGGGCTGGTATCTGAGTTATGACCAATAACAAATTTATTTTTCTTATGATTCTGTCCACAACATTTACACACCTCCTCTTCCTTTCCTAAGTCATCAATGATTTCATCAGCAAAATAGTAATAATATAATTCTTACATTTTAGCCGAAGTTCCTATACAGTCAGTTTAATTGAATTAACTAGTTAGTTCAGAATCATCCAGTCAGCTCAAGATATAACAGTCACACTGGCTGTTTATGTCTCATTGTAAAGCTTTAGTTTTAAAACAAACAGTATCAGTAAATGAAAGCAAAGGGAGTTATATTTAAGTGGTAACTAAAGTAATTGTGATATTTTTGGTTTATCTGTTCTCCAGACACAGATAATTGCACTTTCATATAGAACTTTTAGAAAGTGCTCATTTGAATGTATGCAATAAAAATTTTAACCTATACAAAAGTAGAGAAAATAGTATAATGAACCCCCATAGACTAATCTCCTGGATACAAAAATTATCAACATGCTTGCTTCAACTTTCTCTTTTCTTTGTTATAATCCCCCCCCCCCCCCCCCCCCCCCCCCCCCCCCCACCCGCCCCCCCC